GTGTATAACTGTAGCAAGTGGAAGTATTACTATTCGCAACAGTCATACCACGTTGTAAAGCACCAGTTCTCGTCCGATCACTGAAGTTAAGCAACGTTGGGCATGGTCAGTACTTGGATGGGTGACCGCTTGGGAACACCATGTACCGTTGTCACAAACTTTTTTTTTTTTTGCTAATTTTAAATCTTATTAAAATGTCGATATATTTCTTTTCAAATACATGCTTGAATTATTGCTCAATCCAGTCTATGTCTATGCTACTATTTGTGGTCTAACATGGCGGCTATTTTAATCCACCAATCAGGGTATCGATCATGTAACTTTTCCCCTAGCGCGGAAAAGTGAAAAATTTTGCCATTGATTTCAATGCTAATATTTTTCACTTTTCATGTTTCCGCCCTAGGGAAAAAGTTACATGATCGGTACCCTGATAATAAAATAGATATTAACTTTTATATTATATCATGTATAATTATATACATGCCGCATACTTACATTAAATGCCACAAAGAATGACTCCCATGCTAGTTTTGTATTCAAGCGTTGGGTTAAGCGATACCCCTCGGAGCAAGTGCATGTATTGGGCGATGTACATCTTTCATTCGGTTCACAAGGTATCGCGCAGTGCGGCTTGCAAACTGGATTCGTCTGATTGTCATAAATAAAGCCCTCGTCGCAGATACATACTCCGGGCGCGACGCACGTGCCGTTGCTACAGTCCATCTCGCAGATCGGTTCGCATACGTATTTTGAACTTTCATTACGGTATCCGTAACCGTCGTTACAACTGCAGGTCTCTGGTGCGATGCAAGTACCCATTTTACATGGTTCGCTACAAATTGGCTCGCAAACGCTCGCATTCACTGCTGTATAACCATCATTGCAGAAACATATCTGTGGCGCTATGCATGCGCCGAAAACACAGATCTCGTCGCATTTAGGCACGCAGGTGAAGCGATCAAACTGGCCCACCTCGTAACCATCCAGGCATTTACAAACGTTAGGCGCCGCACAATAACCGTTTGTGCACGCGCGATCACAAACAGGCTCGCACGTGGACGAGGTGGAGTCGTTTTCGATTTTTTTGTAACCGGAACGGCATGAGCAGACATGCGGTTCGTAGCAATATCCGTAGTTACGTTCGCATTCCTCGTCGCAGACGGGACGACAAGTGAATCCGTCCGAATCCATCCAGTAATCCTCGTTGCAGCTACATATGTCAGGTTCGACGCACGTGCCGTTGATGCAACCATTCGTGCACACCGGCACGCACGTTTCTTTGTCGTTCGTGTCATTCAAAGCGCGATATCCTGTGTGACATATGCAAACGTTTGGTTCCAAGCAATATCCCTTCTTGCAAGATTGCGGACAATGCGGTACGCATTCTGTACCAATTTGTACATAGCCTTTGCAGCATTCGTGTTCTACGATTCTTACGGTGTGATACTGTAAATGTAATTAGCGAATTAGAGAACCATAGAAGAGAGTATAAATAGATAACAAACAAAGCAAGAGAGAGAGAGAGAGAGAGAGAGAGAGAGAGAGAGAGAGAGAGAGAGAGAGAGAGAGAGAGAGAGAGAGAGAGGTAAAAAAGCAATTATAAAAATATTTATAAAATAAACAAGAAAATAAAAAAATAAAATAAAATTTTATATATTATTTGTTTGTGATGTAATACTAATTTTTATATTGTTTAGATATTATTTACTAATGCATTTTTATTAAGTTTTTTATTAGATTTGACATGAAGCATTTGATCAATATATGAATATTTGATCAACACATAAATTTGAACATAGCGTACAAACAATTCAATATATCCAATTTTTCGGAAATTTTTTTCGTTGATCAATATCTCATCTATGAAATATTTTTTTAATTAATGTGATTTTTAGAACAAAAATTTACGATTGTAGGTCAAAGTAATAGTGAGAAGAATGCATTTGACACGTATATAAAAATTATCTTTTTTACTGTTTTTTTTTAAATTTTTTCTGTAAGATTTTTTATTTCTCATTTCTATCTTATTTCTTATTTCTTATTACGTGTGTGATTTATTAGATTTGATTACCTCTTTCCTGTAATTCAAGCGAAACTTATGATAAAATGAATGTAGTGAATGATCTCGCATTTTATATGTTTCCATATAAGGAATGTATTGTGACAATTTACGGCTGCAATAAAATTAATAAAATTAATGTATTTTGAAAAAATTATTTTCAAAAAGTTCAGAATATATCTCAAATTCAGAAATAGATATTGAATATATAAAAAAAATTAAATTATAATATAAAGAATATAATTTTGATATACAGAAAGAAAGATTGTATAACAAATATAAAGATACCTGACCACTCTAGTACACGTTGAATTATTACTTGGTATATGCACAGAAGGCTGATCATGCTCCATTACAAGTACGGAAATTTCACCATTTGTATATAATTTGTCTATTTGTAGAAATAGTATCTTGGCAATCAATATAGTGATCAAACTCTTAAACAACCCCATAGCACGTTGTTTCTATTATGAAGTTGACACTTGCTCCGTGAAACTTGGACTGACTATTGTAGCGCTTTCTTTCCATTATTATCTCCTTTATCTTTTGCTTTCCATGCGTATGGGTTGTTTTAATGAGACAGGATGTGCTGTGCTATCAGAGAGTTTACTGAAATGCATGTGTATTTGTAGCATAAAGTTCATTTAAATATTGATACCATTTATGTTGAGACAATATAAGATGTGAAATGAGATTATCGTTCGTGTGCGCGCGCGTGCGTTTTAAAAGGTATTCTAAATGAGTCAAAAATTAGTTTTTTATACGTGGTGTTTTTTATACATAAAGATGGCGATGTATATATCCTTCATTTCCTTTCTCTCGACGAAAGAAGATATCGAGAAAAAGTATCGAAAAATATTTCGTGAAATTCTACAACGTGTAGATAATATGCGTGAATTTCGAAAATTGAATGATAGGCGCGTGCAGCATCGATTCCAAATCATCAAAAGAAAGTTTAAAATTGCAAAACGCAAACAAAAATTTTGCATTTTCCATGATGAACACGATTAGCTCAATTAGCAAATAATAGTAAATAATCTAGCAACCATTTTTTATCAGCTATGGAAGAGTATTTTAGTAGTCAAAATTCTGAATGGAAGCATTCGAATTTCTGCTAAATTATCATTTAATACGCAAATCCGTGACAATGACAAGGTATGACAACAATAATGTATTCCACAAAGCTGGTTGTTTGATGTGATGTCAATTACACAATTTGTGTAAAAGAGAAATAAAACTAATTAATATATAAAAGCTTTAAGAGCGAAGAGAAGGAGAGATTTCTCGCAGGCCGTGTTTTTCTAGTTCTCGCCAAATTTTAGTTTTATGAGAAGAAAACTCAGCGTGCAACGAAATTAAACATCACAAAACAGTTAGGAATTCGGAACATGCCACACATACACAATTTTAATTCTTGATTATACTTTATTGAAAATATCTTATATTAATGAATATATACATTTTCAACTTCAATTAACAATTAATTAATTAAGTTAATGATAAACAATTGTTTTTTTGCATTTATCATCATTATTATTATAGAAATTTCCAAAATTTCGTATAGAGCTTTCCGTAGCATTTTTCATATTAAGAATTAATATTACTTTGTTCAAGTAGCCCTTGCGTTAATGTATTGTGCCTGCAAATTACCTGTTCATCACCTATTAAAAAGAATAATTGGATGAGAATATTAATGTATTAATCATATTTAGTTTGTTATTTGTATGTCTTAAATTAAAAAGTCATATATTTTTCAAAAGCATTCGGATTATTTGAAAAAAGAATATAAGTTATAAATTTACTAATTTATTAACATAGCAAGTTTTTTTCTATGGTTGTATCATCAATATAATTCCAAAAATCTAAAAATATATATTTTTTTATTTAAACATGCAGGATAATGGGAATCTCATTTTATTTTATATTTGCGAAAGTTACTCATATACTCGATCCTTTTTTAAAATTGATATTTATAACTTATACTCTATTTTTTTCCAGCATTTTCTACATAAGCATATATAATTGAGAAATCATTTCTGTGATTATTATTAGATAATATGTAATGAAATTCGATAATAATACCTAGACCAATTTGTCTATTTCGACGTTTTCGTAGTACTATATAAGTTGTTACTGCTCCTATCAGAAGTAATATTCCGAAACCACATGCGATTCCACTTAGTTTGATAATTTCCTTATTATTTCTATACTGTCTGCTTAGTTCAAGGCATTCTATTGCAAAAACTGATAAATTTTTATTAGTTTGTCGCCTAATATTATTATATTGCGAAGACAATTGAAAATTTGACATGAAAGAAAGATATATATATAGTTTTTTTTGTATATATCTAAAAAAAAATTTTTTGAAAATTTTGTCTTTTTGCTTTTTTTCTCATTATCAGAGATAAAAAAATGCATGTTAAATAAATTTATATTTGTAACAAACCTTTATTTATTAAACAACCAATTTGTGTTTTGTTTTGTGTATCATTAATGTACATCTTAAAGCACAAAGTCTCGTTGTTTATTTTATTAATACATTGAGGGCATGCTGGGTTATTTATAAGTACATGCTCAATAGTATTATTTTGTTCTTCTATGACATTTAATCTGTAAGAAAATAAATGAATCACAGATGATTTATAGACAATTCATTTCAGATATCGTTATAATACAATATCAAATTTTTTCTGATAATAATATTAAAGCGTCCTGTTTATAGAAAGATAGAGAGAAATGATTAAATATATATATTCATTGCTGTTATATTAATTATTATTATATCTATTTAATAAAAAAGCGTAAATTTGTAAAATGCTATATATTAGATACTTACGATTCGGTACGATTATCTTCATCGTTTAAGATCGAGATACACAAGGTTGGTTGATCACAGTGCGGACCGGTCCATCCGTAGTTGCATTCGCAAATTCTGCGTTCATCGATGCACTCGCCGTGAGCGCCGCAGCCATCCTGGCATGCGTGCACGCAGATGCCTTTGATTTTCACGAAACCGACATGGCATTGACACTCGTCCGGTGCCACGCAGTCGCCGTTATCGCAACTCTCGCAATGCGGCACGCATCTACTTGCATTTTCCAGCCGATCTTCAGAAATCAAACGAGATTCCTTGACTTCTGGTCCAATGCCCGAATCTTCGAGGACAAATCCGTCATCGCATTCGCAGACTTCAGGTGCGACGCACGTGCCATTGTTGCACGTTGAGCAAAATGGCTCGCACCTACCCGTTTCCGTATTTCGATAACCATCGAAGCACGTGCAGAGATCTGGCGCCGTGCATGTGCCGTTTCCGCAATCGACGGTGCAGATCGGTTCGCATCTAAACGGAACATCTTTTTCGTCATAATAAACCATGCGATAATTATCCTCGCAAATGCATAAGTCGGGCGCCTTGCAGATTCCGTTTGTTTTGCAGGCTGGGTGACAGATAGGATCGCATACGTTCATAGAATGCGTCGATTGACGATAGCCTGGTTTGCAATTGCATATGTTGGGTTGGACGCAAATACCATTCTTGCAGCTCGGATTGCAAATCGGTTCGCAGAGACTTGTACGATTGTTCTCGGTAGGTTGGTAGCCGAAGTTACAGGTGCATTCGTTTGGCGCACTGCAATATCCATTAATGCAGTCAGCTTCGCAGAAAGGTTCGCATATGTTCGAAGAATTGTTCTTGGAAGGACGATAGCCTTTGTTGCATGTACAAATTTCGGGTGCACTACAAATGCTGTTTACACAATTCCTGCTACAGATGGGTTCGCAAATATTGGTAAAATTGCCGCCTGACGGTTGATAACCGGTATTACAACTACACGTATCAGGAGCGCTGCAGAATCCATTGATGCATTCTGTGTCGCAGATTGGTTCGCACACTGAGTTATCGGCAAAATATGATATACTCTGAAAATCAATATTTTCTATATGGGTATAAAAAATTATTCTATGTAAAATACGAGGTGTGATCAAAAAGTAACGAGAATTTTCAAATTGCGTGCGCTGTATCTTGTCTATCGTGGAAAACGTTAAAGAGATTGTGCTTGCTAATATATTAGCTAATATATATTATAATTGCTATAATATTAGCTAATATATTAGCAAGCACAATCTCTTTAACTTTTTCCATTTTCATGACTGGTGGACGTGCTAGGACGCCCAGACTTCGCGTCATCTTCGATGTCTTCTCGGCCTTCCTGAAAGCGTTTATACCATTCATAAACTCGTGGTTGTGACATAGTATCGTCGCCAAAGGCCTTCTTTAACATTTTGAACGTTTCGCTGCACTTAATTCCGTTTTTAACACAAAATTTCAAACAAATTCTCTGATCCGACATTTCGCCACACAAAAAATCGCCGAACACACTGAAGTACGTCTTGCTCATTCGCTCGCCAAACACAAACTAAGCGTCGTAGCTGCCTGAAAATTGACACGTACGTCACTAGTAGTGCTACTAACACACAAGATACAGCGCACGCAATTTGAAAATTCTCGTTACTTTTTGATCACACCTCGTATATATACGACGCTTCTTAAAACGATATTATAAGAAATTGTCTTGCAACGAATTTCTCTTTTTATTTTCTAATACTAACGGTTTTCTTGGTTTGGGTCTTGTCAACTAGGCGATATCCTTCAAAACAAGTGCAAACATTTGGTGCGGTGCAAACGCCAAACGGTTCGCAAGAAATTTCGCAGTAAGGCTCACAAACGTGTTTCGTTGATTCATCGCCGCTCAATTGAAATCCCTCGTTGCATGTGCATACGCTAGGTGCAGTGCATCTCCCATTCAGGCAAGCTTTTTCACAGACCGGTTCGCAAATATGCTTCGAATTCTCAAGTAACCCATAGCCTTCGAAACAGCTACAGCTTTCAGGAGCTACGCAGATACCCATGACACAGGCTTCACTACAAATTGGTTCACACGTACTCGGAGTTTTTAAGGAATAACCTTTGTCGCAAGTGCATACGTTGGGTGCCGTACACGTGCCATAAAGACAATCGTGTTCGCACTTGGGTTTACAGACAAATATATTGTCTGAATCAAGCTCATAACCATTATTGCAAGTACAGGTATCAGGAGCGGTGCATTCGCCGTGAACGCATGGATTTTCGCAAACAGGTTTGCATTTCTGGGAACAGAGAGATGCGAATTTATCAACATGTGCTATTTTCTTCATCTGTGTATTTGTTTTCTTCTAATATTAATATCTTTTTGATTGAGAGACAATAATTATTTTCAGGACGCATAACATTGGATATAATCTTTCACACAATTTCGAATTTACATTGGTCGTGATCATCATGTTAAAAAAAAAAAAAAAAACTGTTATATTTTTTACATTTTCAAAATTTTAATTGCTAAAATTCTATCTTTTTTAAACCTTTATACATCAAAAATTCATATTTTGATACGAAAACATTATTTTTCATCAAGAAAATATTATGTGCATTACAAATGTATTTATATTATAATTTTCTGTACATTAATAACATTTTACACGCTCAAATCTTACTTCGAGTCTATAATTCCATCGAGTCCGAGTCTTATAAAAGATACCCCACGTCTTCTCTTTATATGTTTCTAAGTATGGAACTTGTTTGGTTACTCGAACACTGTAAACAGAGTGATATTTTAACAACGTTAGCTTGTTTGTTGAATATATTTGATGAGCACTATTTTGATTTATAAAAAGAGAGAAATAGATATATGACTATATCTTACCTAACTGTTCGACTACATTTTCCTTCTCCTTCAATGATTTCTATATCAGGATAATCAGAAGAATATCCTTCATAAGCCTTCAATAATGATAGAACTTCAGTAATCAATCTGTTTTGTAGAATAGTAAGAATAAATATGACATACAAAAATTTCATAATTGCTAAATATAGAAAAATTTATTTTCGAGAGGAGACAACTAGCGAGAAAAAGCGATTAACGCATGGTCAGTTATATATCACGTCGCGAACTAGACTAGAGGCTGCTCTTCCTCTCTGTTATGATGTAGCGCGTTATCAGGATTCGACAGGATGTGTTGTTAGCTGTTGTCAGGAAGCAACAATTAAATTCATATGAATCCTCAACTTATATATGATAAATTTCTCTCTTTAAGTATAATCTTTATTTCATATAAATTATTACTGAAAACCCTTTTTTATATATATGCATTGTGTTTTAGGTTGAATTGTTAATTTATTTTGAACATATTAGTAAAATGTTCAAAAAAATATCCAGATTGATTTATAAAAATTTTTCATTGAATAAAAAGCACGTATTTTGCTTGCCTATTTAAACTGCAAATTATGCAGAATATTCCTAATATGGAAATTTTTTAAATTTGTTAAATTACTTAAATATATTATAACATATAGCACACTCTCATTACTTTTGTTGAATATCTAGTGCACTTTTTTTAATGTATATTGCATCAAGCTATAAAAACTATATAATTGTTTTATGATGTAAACGAATTGATTTCGCATGTTCAACAGTGCATAAACGGAATGTACATTTTCTCAAGAAAACTTAGTTGAGTTGACATACTGGGTCAAGGATACAATCTGCAGTGATCCATTTACGATGCAACAACATTGATTGTATGCAAAATAAATATATTTATAATATATTTATAATATATTTATAATTAATATATTTATTGGTTGCCAGGGTTTTTTCCATCTGACATTTTATTTGTTCAAAAAAAATTATATTCGCAGATTATTTTATATAATGATACTCAAGAATTTGTGTATGAGATACCAGTTATCAGAATAATTATTACAATACAGAAACTTTAATTATATATAAATCTACGATAATATTCTATCTGTATAGTATTGTTTGATACATTTTTCAAAAGTCGTATATTGTTACAAATATAATATATTGTACAGTAAAAAACGAACATAAATGTTGTTTTACAATTTATAAATTTATGAATAAAATTTCTCAATTGGTCATAATGTATGAAAGTTTAATCACTATGTCAAATTATTCTAATATAAATATTAATACGTTTCGTGTCAATAGTTTTTTTTACATTTCGAAAACATCGTTTACTCTTGCGGGGCACATATCTGCCGACCGTTTTCATTCCGGTACCCGAAGTAACAAAGACAGACATTCGACAGGGTGCCCATGCCGTTCTCGCATCCGCCTTCGCATACCGGCACGCATTTTCTGAGGTCATCAGTGTTGTGAATGTATCCTTGATTGCAGGTGCACTGGTCCGGCCCAGTGCAATAGCCGTTTAAGCACGGCTACTTGGCACACGCTCGTAGCCGTACTATTCCTATCTTCTCGGACGAACTTATCAGTCAAAGGAAATGTTGCGGAATCCCGGATCGCACATAATTCGGGGCGACGCACCGTCCGTTCGAGTCGCATCCGTATTCACATTGCGGAGGATCTGCTAGGGAAACGCATTTACCGATAATATTGCGAGTAAAACCGGGTTTGCATTTACAAATGTTGAACGCGAGGCATTCGCTAGTGCAGGCGGCTAGGTAATGAGGGATGCAGGTCTCGCGATCATTGTAAGTGTTGGGATATCTGTAAAATAGTTTATTTAATGTTAAATTTTTTTATGTTTAACGTTTCGTCAAAATATATCTTGAAAGTATCACAGTTAGAAATTGCGAAACGTTCTGACAATATAATACATATACAGAGTGTCCCATTTTAACTTTCATACTGTAATATCTCGAAACTGTAAGTTTTAGAAGGAAATTTTTTAGATAAAAGTTGTTTGGTTCTGAGGGGGAAAGAAGATAGGAATATTAGTTAGACTTTGGGTGGCATTGTTAAGGTCACATTGAATTTTTTAAATTGAAACCCCTATTTTTTTATTACATATTCTTGTAGTCTTTGTCGAGACATTTTCAGATAACTATAATAAAGTATTTTTTCATTAAATATTTTTCGAGTTATTTTACATCTTAATCTGACATATTTTGATATAAAAAATAAAATATCTCGTAAAATATTTAGTTTTCGATAATTTTACCGTAATACTTTTATGTACAGAATAATGAGACACATCAATAAGAAAAGATATATACTGTATGAAAGTTATTATAATTAAGAAACATTTAGTCACTTACTTTATCTGAATTAGATTATCCGACGATTATGCTGAATTTAACATTTATATGCATATAATGTTTTGAGAGCAAATAATTTCTTTTTCTAAAAATTAATTAAATTGTGGTTTTAAAATAAACATTAAACTATCATGTAAAATATGTTTTCTGAATCTGTATGTGTATTTTATTATGAATCTCGCATTACACATTGACGTTTATACAATCCATTTGATATCATCCGAGAATGAATGTATGCTCGCTTTATCAAACTAATCTATGTATTAAGACGCTTTGTGTCATCAGTTTTTCCGTACATCTCGGAAATATTTATTCTTGCGGGACACATCTTTGCCGACCTTTAACACCGCTTTCTTTCCGATATCCGGGATTGCAAATGCAAAAATTCGGCAAGGTGCATACACCGTTCGGGCATCCGCCAACGCATACCGGCACGCATCTTGAGCGTGTGACATCACGAGTGTCGTATGTGTAACCCTGATTGCAGGTGCACTGATCCGGTCCCGTGCATTGGCCATTCAAGCACGAATGATGGCATACGTTCGCTTCCGTACCATCCCCCTCATATTGGATGCATCTACCTGTATCAGGATTGACGCGGAATCCCGTATCGCAGACGCACACGTTTGAGGCGACGCACCGTGCGTTCTGACCGCAACCGTATCTGCATTGCGAACTGGTCGCGTTGGAGGATGCCAGGGGAATGCATCTACCGGTATCGGGATCGCTGGCGAATCCCGGTTGGCAAGCGCATCGGTTATACCCAACGCAGGTGCCGTGCGGACCGCAGTCGTATCTACAGTCGCCGGAATGTGACGGGGTAGCGGATGTCGATGCGGGGATGCATCTACCGGTATCGGGATCGCTCGCGAATCCCGGTTGACAGGCGCATCGGTTATGCCCAACGCAGGTGCCGTACGGACCGCAGTCGTATCTACAGTCGCCGGAATGTGACGGGGTGACGGTTGTCGGTGCGGGGACGCATCTACCGGTATCGGGATCGACGATATACCCGTATCCGCACTGTGATGAGCCTGGGCTAGTCGGAACGCATCGGCCGCTGTAACGGTCCCGCATGTATCCGGATCTGCATCTGCAAACGTTTGGCGCGATACATTCGCCGCCGTCGCAGCCATCCGGACAGTCCGGCACGCAACCGCCGGTGTGATCGTGCGTAAAACCGGGTTTGCATCTACAAATGTTGGGCGCGATACATTCGCCGCTAGTGCCGTCGCAATTGTCTGGGCAGTGAGGGATGCAGGACTCGCGATCGCCATGAGGATTAGTGTATCTGTAAAATAATTTATGTTTCATCAAAGAACGTATTGAAAATATCGTAATCAGTGCGAAATGTTCTGCATTCAGTATAACAATACAAAATATATAATAAAAATCCAACCCATTTGATGAAATTCGTAATACTTCGCAAATGTATTACATATGTCACGCCGAACATAACTATTTATATCTCAAATTTTCTAGCATCTGTCTCTCTAATACAAATAATATTATTTACGCAAGTGTCAGTGTGCGTGTATAAAAATGAAAAGATAAATTATTTATACGTCTGCATAAAATTGAACACTATAATGCAAATGTATTACATATGTCACGCCGAACATAACTATTTATGTCTCAAATTTTCTAGCATCTGTCTCTCTAATACAAATAATATTATTTACGCAAGTGTCAGTGTGCGTGTATAAAAATGAAAAGATAAATTATTTATACGTCTGCATAAAATTGAACACTATAACATTTGCAGCGTAATATCGTGTTCGATGAATTTAATATTGATTTATCAATTATACATAGATATCTCTCCACTCCATTTAAAAACAGATTACAAATGTATACAGCTCCACAATTATGAGGCAAAATTTAATCATGCTAGAGATTGCGTAGTCACTGGGGAGATCGTAGGATATTTGAAAAGATAAGATAATTACCCTTCGTGACAGGTGCATACACCTGGTGCGCTACACATGCCGTGCACGCAGCCTCCCTCGCAAGCGGCTATGCATTCCTTGCGCTCATTCAGAACATATCCTGATCTGCATCGGCAAACTCGCGGTGCCACGCATTCGCCGCTTTTGCATCCGTCAGGGCAGATTGGCTTACACTGACCGTTTACCTCGTCGTAGCCCAATTTGCACACGCACACCTCCGGAGAGAAGCAATATGCATTCTCCTGGCACTGATATGTACAGACAGGCATGCAGACACCATCTTCGGGACGCCATCCCGATTGACAGCTGCAGATATTCGGTCCTGTGCAGCGACCGCCGAAACAGCCGCGATCGCAATGCGGTTCGCACAAGCCGCTTGTCACATTGCGCTCGTAGCCTTCGCAACAGTCCAATATAGTAATCCAACCACCATTGTGCTGATCAACAGAAGATTTATCTATTTTTATAATTGCCGTCTTAAAAGAAATGCTTGAATAATTTCTATTGAATTTCGTAATGAATATACAAATGTTGCATTCTAAAATCTGTTTTTTATAAAATTTAGTTTATTATATTTGTCAAAAATTACCACGTACGCGAGAAAATTTTCAATCAAAAGAGAGAGTTACTTACAGATTGGCCTTCTGGTGGTTGAGGGATGGTATTATAAGGCGATCCACTAAAGTTCAAAGTCAAGACATGACTATATCTACAATAAACAGATATATTTTATATTATGTTTAGTGTGAGCGTATATTAAATACAAAAAATATGAAAGCAAAAAAATATTGAATTGTGATATTATCAGAATTGCATTCGTATCAAATTAAAAAATTGATTACTCACGGTACCGTTTTATAACAAAGACTATTTTGCGAGGAGTTGGTGCTACCGTGATAGTTCCCGCTTGACGGATAACGTGGTCGATGTCCACCCTTTACACCATTTGTTGCCCTGGTGCTGACACACAGGCACGTAAAAACGACTAAGCAGATCAACAATCTCTGCATGTTGCATGAACGATCGCAAATTTACTACTGGATGCTTATTTTCGGTTAGAGAGCGGGCATCATAGCGATAAGAGTGTCGCAGAGGCCAGCGTTCTTCATCTTTTCGATTAAACTACGCAGCACTCGTTCGAGGAAACGGTTATCAGTTATGCATATCGATATGTCAAAGAGCCTTAATGGGGCCAATAAAGCGTTTGTGTGTCCGTTTCTTTATATTTTTTCTTTTATCTAATTGATTAGGTCATTATTAACTGGGACATGATTGACTCATTCAATGCGATTTTAATCGCGTGAATAAATTATTCATTGCAACTTGTAACTTTGTATACAAATTGAAAAGAGAAAATCATATATCACAATTAAATTATAGTATAATAATATTACCAGATATTTTGGACGTAAATCATAAAAATTACGTTTTTGCAAGCTTTTACCTTTGAATTTTAAGTAAAAGTTGTGAAAAGTAGTTTTCTTTATAAATTACACGTTTACGCCATGCACATATTAAATTACGATAAAGTATAAGAAAATATTTAATGTATGGAAGTTATTATAATTAAAAAACATTTATTATTCTCTTTATCTGAGTTAGGTTATCCGAAGAGAAGATTTAATTTAATGTACTAAATTTAATGTTTATATGCATATAATGTTTCGAGAGAAAATAATTTCTGAATTTTTAAAAGAATAATCAAATTGTAGTTGTAAGATAAATTCTAAACTATCATACAAAACATATATGTTTTTTGAATCTGTATGTATCTTTATTTTGAGTTTCGCTTTACATATCGGTGTTGTTTATACAATCCGTCTGATATCATCCGGGAATGAATGCATGAACGAATCAGGGCGATAATAAGACAGAGCAAGAATATGTTAAATGCGATAAATGTGCACAACATATGTTTATTTAATTATGATAAGTTAACGCTGACTGCAGATAACAGTTCCTTGAAACGAGTACAACTATTTATTGCAAAATGTACTTTTTTGTACTTAATTGAAGGGATCAGATTATTCTATGATATAAAAGTGGGTTTTTCTTATTTTCTTTTTCTATAAAAACTATTTTTTTTATATAAACAAACGTAAAATTTTTTACATTTTTACCAACAATAATAACATATAATTCAATATTAATTAATCCTTTCGATGATTCTTTGGTTTTTTTACAAAAACATCTCAGCATATGAAATTATAGTAATGTGACATTTTATAAAGCATTAATACAAAAATGAATGAATGTGACGATTAAAAATATATTTAAGAGATTATATATTAAGATTATATAAGATATATATTTTAATACATAAATTATTTTATTTTATGTTATATATAATTATTAACTTCTACGATGCATATACATTGCGATTTGATATAAGATTCTAATTCTTTGGTTTTATTTTAACACAAAAAAAATAAGTGTGCTTCCTCTTACGATTAAGAATTTATATCATTGATTAAATTATCACTTACTTACATATTACTACTGATATAACTCGGAAATACAGCATACATATTATTATCATGAAATGTTGGAGTATGTTTTCACGCGTAGAAAAAATACTACATTTTTTAAATGGAATTACTATAAAGTAATTATTAATTCATATAAAAAATTTATAATAACATTGTTAAAATGAGTAATAATGTTATAAAAAAATTGTAATAAAATTCTTAAATTTAAGAAAAAAATATTATGTTTGATATTTTGTTCCGTGAGCAATGCGACAATATTCAATGTACAAGGATTGCTTGTAATATATTAATCGTGGATTAAATGATTAATGTATTATTTGCGCAACGTTATTTATAAACAGAGTAATCGAGTAAATTACATAAATTACGTCAATACTGAGTGAAATTGCCAGATTTATCAGACAATTTATTTTTGCATCTATTTATTCGTACACGGAAAAAAAAAATTTCGCTACCATAGCTAATCATGGTTTGCAAAATAAATTTCTAAACTGCAGCAAAACGGTTTGTTGTTGCACTTAATAAATAGGTATCACAGTTAAGATGTTTGCTGTTGCACCTAATAAATAGGTGTCACAGCTAAGATGTTCGCTGTCCATATATTACGACTGAAATCTAGTTACCACACGCAGTTTTTAACTACGGCAGCTAATTTTTTTTTTTCCGTGTAAGCAAGATAGATCGGCATTGACTATACAAATGTTTAAAACTATCTAGATAATGATAGAGTATGTTAGGACGCTGTATTTCCCTGCTCGTTACACGGGGCTCTATTATTTCGCGCTTTCCATCTAATTGTGCATTCGCGCGCAATCGTAATCTAGTGCATTCTCTCTCCCTCGGTTTGACGTCATTCCATTAAAATAGTTGATTCAGAAAGTTGCACGTTCCACTGGTTAAATTCTATCGGCGGTCATTGGCAGTACGATGCTTAAATGACTTGTTTTTCTGCTTATCCACTCGATTACAATCACGTTCAGCCTTCAACGGTTGTGCGTAAGGTCGGAAACCAGTTTCCGCGTATTTTTCAATAGAATCGAAAAATTGACTTTTTACCGATTATTTATTTATAATAGATCGCTTTTCGTCTAAAATTGCTTAATTTTTGTCTTATGACATTATTGCATTATTAACTATAGGTGGACTTGACCATGAATGTAATGAATAGTGTTTCCATCACATATCCTTGCGATTGGATAGGGGAGTGGTTTGCAAAGGTATTTCATCGTATACATGCTCCGTGTTATGGTCAAAGTTGGTTTGCAGACGTATCAGAGTTGCTGATGGTCGATCGTAATGGCTGTCTTGTAATAGATCTATGATTCACAATATATATATATAGAACACAATTTGAATATTTTAAGAATAATAATATTTTAAGAATATCAATAAAAATAAGAATTTTATAGTTTTTTTTATTAAAGCAGCAATTCTAATTTGATAATTATATAGATATAGAAGATTATTCATTGTCAATATAGTTACTATCTATTAGATCTTTTTACTAATCTGATGGAGGCTAATTTTGTAACTATTATGATATTGCTGCTTTTTTTGCAAGTACGGTAAATTTTATAAAAAAAATGAAAACTTACCGCGAAGATTACCGGAAATTCGCAGACCGATTGTAGCGGCGCCATTAGCATAAGTATTCAAGGACTCAATGCCGTCGACAGTCAATATCGTTTCCGGTTCCGTACTAGTAGCAAATATGGGATTCACACGAATCGGAGGTGCTAAAATCGTAACAAAATCGGCAGATATACATATACGTATGCGTTGATACAAGAGAGTTGATTAGCGTACAAAGGACTAGGTGATATTACACGACCGATTATAGCTTCTTCGCTAGTTATGACGGTCAAGAGTCAAGATTATCGTCGCGGTCGTTATGTGACTAGAGGGTCAAGGACATACGGATTTCACTAACAATTCAGAACCAAGAAGAGAATGTTGCATCAAGTGAATGTAATGCTCGATACTCACGAGGCAGGCTAGCGTTCACCACTGTGGACAATCTTCCGGTGTTCATACTTTCGCGTTCTTGGCTCTTGTTCTTCTCGTCGTCGTAAACGGCAAGACGAACGGTTTCGAACAATTTAGAACGCATGTGAAGAACCATAACCACCGCGAGCGAGGTCAAACCAAGAGAGACGATCGCAGCCACGACGATTAGAGCGATGTCCAATGGAATCGGCGCAGATGTCTGAATGTCATCTGTCGTTGCAATAAAAATACTTTGTTTCAGTAGATGTCGAACGTAGACGCATAAAATGTGAAGATATTTTAACAAAATAAATTTTTCGGATACTTCTGGAAATAATACCTTTATGAACGGTTTTTACATAATTGATATTTGGCATGTCGATGCTTTCGTCATTTTGTACATGTCTGAGAAACGCGTTCTTCGTTTCAAACTTTTGCCTATCTTTTTCGACATCTCTTCTACGTTCGGGAACGGAGACTAATACAATTACAGGTCGAGCAGTAGTCGAAAGATTCTTTATTCGCGTTCCATTTGTTGTTGCTTTCTGAGGAGGGATCGCGATCGAAGCTGTTGCCGGACTTGTCGTTTCCTGAATATAATTTGTGTCATTCCAACTGTCATCTATGGATATAAAATTAAATACTATAACATTTTACAATACTGTTAATCTATATTATTAGTTAATTATTAAATTAAAAGACGATCTATCATTTACATGAGAAAAGTATTGTGTATTGTCGATTATCGATCACGGCAGCGTGATCGTTAAGTAATGCGTAAACATTATTAACAAATAATTTTTTTACAAAGCTTAAGGAGAATAAGAAATATAATAATTTGGTTGATGCCCTTTAACTAATAAATTTTAATTATTATTTTTCTTGACACTTCTGTGCAGTTGTCTCTAATGCTTAAAAGTCTGAAGAGCCATTTATACATCTGTGGAAAGAAATGATTGTGCATATAAATGCTTTCTTCGGTAAACATATTATCTCACCTTCTGTCTGGCGCTCGGTAGTCTTACGCGGCGCCGAGACAACTTCTGTGTATTCCATGTTGCTAATTCTGGGTGTTTGTACGCGTTCAGTAGTAGAGCTTTGCAAATAAGCGGGTGACGTTTGTTCGACTAAAGAGGCGTCATCCTTTGTGCATTTTCCGGTTACGGCATCGCAGTTATTGTCCCAGTTTTGACATGTGCAGTTGTTTGCGCAATCTGGACCCCATTGGCCGATTGTACAATGCTCTTGGCACCTTGCAAAAAAATAATCACTTTCACAGCATAATTTTTACTTTAACATATTAAATATTTTGCTGCCTTAATTTCTTGGCGAAAGCTTTTGTATGAGATTTTTTTAACCACTTACTGTGGTCCTTGCAATCCTGGAGAACATTGACAAGCGCCATTTATAGGATCACAGATGCCATTTTCACCGCACTTGCACACTTCCGCACAGTCTAGACCCCAGCTTCCTATCGGGCATCCTGCGAGATGAAATTAATATTCGATATTTTATAAATATATAACGCTTTAATATTTACAAGAAATAATGTCTAATATATATTTATTCTACTAATATGTATTTATACCATATTTCCAAAAAAAAAAATTTACATTTTAAACTACAATATCAATATATTTTACTGATATTTTAGACTTATTTTGATATATTTCCTTGTAATATATTACTATACATGGAAATTACGCTAATAATATAACGCAAATAATTAAATGTAATTGCCGAAATTAACAAATCTCTTGAAATAGATGTAAAATATATTTAGGAGATATTTTTATGATGAATGAGATTATCATTGTGCGAATATCTTTTATAAAGCATTGATGTCACGATTATGTTATATGTCATGATATCGGACGTTGTATCTGATCGACTCCATACCGCCCACGACCTTCTTGAATGTTCATGGGAAAGTAGCGGCTTCGTAACTTCCGGGCTTCCGTAACTTTCGAAGCCCCCGATTATATTGACGCAACAGTTGCATGCAACTTTTGCTTGTTCTATAATGCGATAAATCTGTAATTTTGTTATTAACTCATAGTCTTACTATAAAAAAATGTAAAATAATTTCGGTAAATTCAAATATTGCAAAAAGCGTAAGATTAATAAATGTTAGTAAGTGTTAATATTGTATAAATAACGAAAAGAATTGATTGACATTGGTAATGTGAAAAAGCAAATATTGTTTTAAAAATCTTCTATTCATGTATTCTACTGCTCTAGAATAATTAACGTTTAATATATTTCCGCCTTTGTTTTATAGCAATTTTGATTATACCATTTTGCAAAGATGTGTAATATGATATTAGTTTTAACAAGATGTGATAATATTGCATTCTACTCATTATTATGATTTACGGAAATATTATTTATTATTTATTATTGGAAATATTATTTATCCCTGAAAACAGTCATTTTATGCGCGTTCTTTTGACAATGAAAGGTCGGTTAGTTTTGTAGAGCGTGAAATTTCTCATTGTATGCGTTTTGCCCTTATCCGTTTCGGATTTATTCGCTCTCTACACTCAATTCCGTTTCACAATCGAGTAACGCATCATTTATTTTCTTAGTCCCAAACACATTTTTTGAGTGGGGCTCATCTATTTCGAAACTGTCACTGAATTTATAAATCACAAGGACCTTGAAAACTAACACAGTAAGTTTATTAATTATACCGACATTTAAAATTCTTTGAAGGTCTACTACACTACGCGACTTTGTATGTATATTTATAACTGTTTATTACCTTGGTTTACATATATATCTTTTTAAATGTCACAGCAATTCATTAGCACTTAATTAGCAGTGCAGATGTTATTCTGTTTCGATAAAAAGATGTTGCAAGTATCATTGACTAAGGAGCTTGTCTCAACGACCTTCTAAAATGCCTTTGTTGTTTTTTTTATATATCATTTAGATAGATTACTTTTATATTTACATTAAGAATGATGTTACAGATGAAACTAATGTTGCCTTAAGTAATCATATATGTCGAGTAATCGAAATTAAAGTAATTAAGAAATTAAATTAATAGATTTAGAATTGCTATATAATGAGAAACATGTAAAAGAAAGATGCAATGAGACTTGAAAATACAATAGAAAGAAAGAATATTATTTTTTTATTTTTTTTAATGTAATCTTTTTGGAAATGCATTACACAGAAAATAAAAAATAGTTATGATAATTAATACATGTCATATTCACATTATAAAATATATGAAAATTATAAAATATATTTCAATTGTAAATGCAAAAATTCTAAATTTAAACGATCGATAATAAATGACCAAATTCAAGATGATATCTCATAAAGAAAGAACATTCACTAATCGACTGATTTTAATTTCGACTCACCATGGGCGCAATTCTCTCCGTGATATCCAGGATTACATTGACATTTGTTCGGCGCGATACATATACCCGTCAGACATTTTTCGCAAAACGGTAAACACCTCACATCCGTCTCTGTATCGTCGTGAGTAATCAGCATTTTGTATCCTTCGCAGCATTCTTTTATAGTTTTCGATTTCTTTTCTATCTGTAATACATATGTCGCATATAATATATGTTTGCATATATTTCATAATTATATTTCAATCGAAATAAATGTAATGTCAAAAGAACACTTTTAAATTCAATTGTGTTTCAAAACGCATTTATATATATA